CGGGTTAGAAAGTAGTCTAACAAAAATTAGAAATTGGTCATTTTAATCTTGATAGTTCGGTTGATAGTTTAATTATCTTTGTGTGTCAGCTGGGTCCAAGAAATTTCTCTAATATTTTATACAACGGATCAGATAATTGATAATAAAAATTAGAAATTGGTCATTTTGAGTAGTTTTAGTATCCGTGTCTTCTGAGTGTCAGCTGAGTCTGAGAAATTTCTCTAATACAGAGCTGGCGGGCCGTGAGCCTCTATTTTCCTGATTGCTAGCGCTACCCCCTCCACTGCATCGTTCTCCCCACTACGTTGAAATTTCCTCGCGTGAGAGAGTGGGGTTCATCGACGCAGTGGAGGGGGATTAGGAACGACTGTGAGCCGCCAGTCAGCCAGCTCTGTTTCAGTATTTTACACAACGGATCGGAATATTATTGGCGCGTCCGTTTACTTGCGATATTTTTGTGAAAAACGAATCAGTACCATATATTAACAAAATCTGTTTACAGTAAAACGTCGATTATCCCAACTAATTGGGAGACAAATTTGTTTGGATGAGTAGTTTATTGGATAATCAAATTTGTGATCGAAATAATCATAAATCAACTGGAAATTAAACAGTTTTTAAAGACGGATTTTCTTAATTTTATTACGTGAAAGAATACTTTTACAGCGTCTAGTAACCAGGAGATAAAATCTTCACGATCTCTTCACCTGACATGATACATGTCGATACCTCTTTAATCCTCGAATTTTTATATTTCGTGTTATTATTACTGTTATTATTATAACTCATTACTGGAAATTGCTGGTGTGCACGTTAATTTTGTACGTGGTGTACTCAGATTTTGCAAACAGATTTCAACACATGCATCACCCATTTTCGTAAACTAGATGCGCCAATAATTTTTAACTAGCCAGAAGTAAAATTTCTCTCAGTTTCTTCAAACTATAATCGCAATGAATAATATAGACATGCGCCGCGAGATCTTTGATTTCCAAATCGATTCTGTGTCTCTTTCTTTTTTCTTTCTTTTTCTTTTGCACAAAAAGGAACAAAACAGATGCACTCTTCGTTGTTCGAGAGAAATTATTAATTCACGCAGGGCGAGAGGAGTGACGTCGATTGTTCGTACCTTCGTCGAGCGAGCCGCAAGAACGAGACGCTTCGTTTCGCTGATTTCGTGCTGAACGTCGTAAGTGTTGCCGCGATACCATCTCAGGGATTTCTCAGCACTCAGTTCGTCGTCCCTCGACAAATAGTGGAGCGGACTCTCCGGTAATAATATCGCCGGGGCGATCGAGAGGCACGCGAACCCACAAATCGCGCTGTACCTTCGCGAGAAAGAGAATTGATTTACTCGCTGTTTCCACACAGAAATCGTACCGTACTTCGATTTAATAAAGCCTGTCACGACCGCGGGGAAGATCCACGTTCCTTCACTACTTTTTTTTTTGGGAAAGTACATCCGTACTCCCTCCATTTATGCGAATTACGGAGTATGAAAGTTCCACGTGGAATGAAAATTGTGTGAACAGAGTCTATCTATTAAAGAAAACAAAATATTGGGAGGAAAAGCTGGTATAAAGTTATAGAAATGAATATCTATTTCAACAAAAGAAAAAAAAAAAAAAAAAAAAATAATAATAATAATAACATTTCAGGAAACAAAAGTAAATTTCATTTCGCTTTATGTCGCTATATCGTTACTGTCTTTTATTTTTAATTGACACAAACTCATGATTCTCGTCGAAGGACATTCGAAATATTTGCAAATTCTCATTCTTGACGTGAATTCTTTTCAGACGACTTGTTCCCTCTTATCTTTTGCCAAGTTTTCGAACATTTGATATTCACTGCGAACATTTCTTTGAATCTCGTTGATCAATGTCCACAATATATAGTATTTTCTGGCCGTGTAAATTGATTTCAGATTGATCGATTTTCTGAAAAGTGCCGCGTAAATAGCGTTATAATTTATATCGCGTAAAAAAAAGAGAAGTTTCTGCTGCGCGAAATGGAGGAAACGGCTGTACTTGAATGCCGATAACAATTTATATCGCGCGTATTGTACAAAAATTTCGTTAACGTCGTGCAGGCAACGCACGTTTTATTGGCAAAAATTCGAAACGAATCTTACGTCGAGTAAAACGAATTACGGTGCAACCTGAACCGAACAATCCGTATCTTTTCTATCCTTTCAGTACAGATTCGATTGAAGATTGAGTTTGCAGATTGTTGAACGGAATTCATTTGCTCGAGCGGCAGAAGGAACATAAATCTCAGCCGATCGCGCGTTCCGGGAAAAATGAGGATGAAAAATTGCGCTGCGAGAGGAGCGAGAGATTACGACACTCGATTAATTATTATTTCTCGCTCGACTCGCGTATGTGCCAGAGTATTTGCATTGCGACACGCTGTTGGAATTATATTTGCCTATGGGCAACACCAGCGAAGCAAGGACGATGGATAAAGAAAAAAAAAAAAGGAAAATGATTGATCGATGATCAACTTCGCGTTTCTAAGTTTCGCGCTTCTTTCGCCACGAGCGACACCTTTTGTTCGAGCGTACCTCCACACAGTTTTCACCTCGTCGATCGCATGAGCTACGTAGAAAGCGTACATCACGCCGCAATTGAGGAGCAGCTGGAAGAACGCGAGCAAACGTCCTCGGGTCTCTTTGCTTGCTATTTCGGCCACGTATATCGGCGTCAGCACGCAAGACGCGCCGCCGCAGATCCCGCAGACAAATCTCCCGACAAGGAGCAACATCACCTACAGAACATTTCCAACAAAATTTTCTGTCGTTCCTTTTTTTTTTTTTTTTTTTCTCTGCGACATCCGTTCGAAACTTGTTGAGCACTACGTTGGGGATCGTTACGTTGCGAAATAGTCGCAGAAGAAACCGTTCCTCGGGACGCAATGTATCGTGCCGTGTGAAATATTAATTAACTAGGTTCCACGAGCTCGAGTCAAACTCGAAGCGTTTTTTTTTACCTTCTGTCGACGTTGGCTGATCATCAGAAACCACGCGGCAAGGAGGACCGGCATCGTCCAGAACATGATCTTCGTTCTGGAGACACGGCTGGCGACGAACGGCATCGACATCGCCCCTACACAGATCCCGCCGTTTAAAATCCCACCGATCAGCCCGATCTCGGTCGCGGTGGCGTCCAGGTAGTTCTTCAGCACAACGCTGGCCTTCGAGTTCCAACCGAGCGAGATGCCGAGCGCGAAACCGCCCAGGGACGCTGTAATTTCACCAAGAAACGCAACTGTCAAATTTATTCCCCCCCCCCCCCTCCTTTTCTGAAAGCTCTGTTTTTTCTTTCTTTATTTATTTCCTCCCTTCGTCGCGCTAATTATTTAATTATTTAATGCCGATTATGGCGATACATTTTTCTTCCTTTTCGCGGTCGCGGAGAAACATAAAATTAGAATTAAACGTATATTAATCATCCTGAATTTACATCTTTTATAATATGTGAAATTCTTTTGAAATTAATATTTGGACAATAATGTATGTAGATAAAAATAATCCTGAAATAATTTGAATTATTAAAAAAATTCCTAATATTGATTCAAAATTTCATATATTAGTATTATGAAATAGAGTAGAAGAATAAAATTAGAAAAATAAATTAGGGGAAATTAGAGCGCGGTTTCCTTTGTTTGCAAAGTCACCGTACGTTTAGATACAGGGTGGAAGAAAAGTTTGTCCGTGGCTATCACGGATACGAATGAATTCTACGTCTTCGATTCGATGGAAATACGTGTAAAGAACCTGCGACAAAATTCACCCTGACCTTGAATTTCAAAGACAAAATATATATATTTTTTTTCTTTTTTCTTCATTGTATTCTACTCATCAAGGAACCATTAGGCAACCTAGTAATTTTCTTGAAAAATGGGAAAAATTAACACTGCGGACTTGTGCGTCCTAACAGCGACTTTATGGTTCAGCACGCGTGGATGCCTGTAACTTTTACATTTCGAATAATGTCAATAGCTTTGTCATTTGATTATTTAGACTCACGTACCGATGCTACAACTATGATCAATCAAATGTTAGCGAAACCTAATACGAAAATTACGCAAAGATAAAGTTGAACGATTAAGAAACTCTTTTCCCATTTCTCAAAAGAACTATCAGGTTCCTGGGAAAAGTTTTACCTTCGCGACGAGTAGAATGCAATGTAAAAAAAAATAAATTTTGACATTCAAAATTCAAGACATGTTTCTTCACATATATTTCCATCGAATCGGAGCTATGAAAGCTCACAAACTTTTCTTTCCACCTTGTACATACGTGTGTACGTCAGGCGAGTGCTTGTGTAGGTATTTTTCTCGGTGAAAAAAATAAAATAAAGACGGGGCGGTGCGTAGTGAATAATACGAAAATACCGCAAAATGCGTATAACGCGAAGAAAAGAGGAAAAGATACGTAATAATATATTCGGAGTAATTATTTTATACGTAATTATTCAGGCTCCGTTCCTTCTGGTTTCGTTCCGCGAGAATGATAATTTGCATAAACGTCCGCTGTGTGGTAGTAACGAACGGTGGAATTTAGTGAGATGATTTAATTAAAACGCGAATGCAAGAAATTTATTTTCTTTCTTTTTTTCTTATTTTTTTTTTTGAATGTTACATACCGCGAGCAGTAAGTTAAACGAAAGAGTTTTCAATTCACAGACGCGCGCTCGCGGAGGCCTCTAAGTAAAGGTACAGTGCACAAAGTAGCACGATAAAGAGTAGCAGGTAAATAAGGTATATCAAAATGTATATCGTTAAGAAGCATTTAAGCAACATATTCGTTGAATCCTTGGAAAAAATCTGTTGAATAACGAACGAACCGATAACAATCTAATTTTCTTCTGTATCATATCTATTGCGAGTAATATAGAATTTTCAAATTAAATAAAATAGCATCTAATTAGCAGAGGTTTTTAAATAAAGGTGAATAAATTACATCAAAATTTAGGCAACATGTCCATTGAATTAAAAGAAAAAGAAAAAAAGAAAAAAAATTGGTCTGAAAACGAACGAGCTAACAATTCCACAGACTATTGTATGGTGTTTTTAAATTCACAAGCGTTTGCAGAAGTTTCTCTGAATAAAGGTACAATGCACAAAATAGAATGATAGCGGAAACATCTACTGAATGTTCAATGTAACATCTATTGAATTATTAAAAAAAATCGGAGCCAATAACATTCGAATGTTCTTTACAAATGCTGTGGGATAACATAGAGCTTTTAAATTAAGCAAACAAATTTTCAATTCGCTGCTTTAATAAAGGTGCAATGCACAAAGCACCACGACGGCGAGAAGCAGGCAATCAAAACACAATGTTACACAATGTTACGACAATGTAAAGACGATGTCAAAATATATATTAACAGGTATCTAGACAATACATCCATTGAATTCTTAAAAAAAATCCGTTTAAAGACGAGCAAAGCACCACGGACAATTGAATTTCCTTTCTGTCAAACGCTGTGACACAGAGCAACACCGAGTTTCTCTTAAATTAAATAAAAGAGCTTCCAATGGTGCAAACGTGCTTTAATAGAGGTATACGATGCACAAAGTGCCACGAATAAGACGAATAATATATAGCAATGGTAAAATATTGTTGTTATTAAATATTATTGTTACGACAGGGAGAACGCTTGAAGCCGAATGTTTAAAGAAAAAAATCGGTTTGAAAACGAGCGAGCCAACAACTCTCGCGGTATGATCGAAAGCCTCTTCAATTTAACAGACCGTCGTACGGGGAATTTAATTTGACAATGATGGAGAAGAGGTTAGCTTACCGACGAACGCTCCGAGATACTGATTCAATTTTCGGACCTCGACCACGTTGTCGTTGATCGATACGGTGGTCATCGTCGATCGGGGACACGGCTGGTCTTCCTTTCAAGACGAGAGAGAGAGAAAGAGAGAAAGAGAGAGAGAGAAAAGCACGACGAGCGGGAGAGCGAGGCTCTACGAAATGGGATCGCGGTCGAGCCGAGTACACCGCGATTCCGACGTGGCGCAATATCGACTCCGGATCTCGTAAAGTCAATCGCGGTCGCCGTTCGTTTCGCGGAACAAAACATAATCGCGTTATCGCGGTTGTACACTCGCGGGCAAAACAGTTTCCTTCCTCGAAATATCTCGACCGTGGGCTTTTTACTTTTTCCTTCGACCAACCACCGCCTTTGACTTGTGTCGATATTTTATTTACCTCGAGAAAATAACTCCGGTATTATTAAATAAATTTGAGGTTCAATTGTCATGGTACCTTCGCCGTTTGATTATATAAATTCTGGCCAAGAAATGACAAGTGTAAGACACGAAATCACATCAAAATATTTAGGCAACATATTCATTGAATTAAAGAAAAAAGAAGAAGAAGAGAAAAAAAGATCCAGCGAGCTAATAATTCCACAAATGAATTTTTTTTTTTCCCTTGTACTAGATACTGTTAGTAACGTAGAGTTTTTGCAATTGCTATATTTCAATAATTGAACTTAACGGGAATCTACGTATGTTCCAGTTAAATTGACAGTGTGCTCATTGTTAAATTAAATCGTAAATTAAAACTGTATTAACTCTTGAATGAAATAAAATTTTGTACAGAGTATCGAAATACAGTTAAGAGTACCCTAAATACAAATACAAATGTATGCGTTCATTATAATTGTCAAAGAGTTATAGAAAAGAGGAAATCCGAGCTGTTGGCTTAGATTTAAGTGCCATGTCTCCTCAGAAAATTGCATTATTAACCACTTGCGTCTGGCAGCTGATTGCGGACCATAACGAGTGACCGAACCGTATACAACAATTTTCGTCATGCTTTCGTACATGTATCACTGGGCGGAAATTATTGAGAAGTAATAAACTTATTATTTGTTTCGTTTAAATATACCTAGAGCCGAGAAAATATTACAATAATTACAATATATTATATTAGAAAATATTAAAATATTACAATGGAGCAAACAAGTTCTCGACATGCGTGGTCACGTCATTCTGTCTGGATTTCTCCAAAGTTTCGCTGCTCCCACGTCCGTCCCGATTTCGTTTTCAAAAATTTTCAGATCCACCCTTCTCGATAATTGTATTCGCAATATTGGACGCGATCTCGAGGATAATTTGCGGTGACCGACGTTCGTTGGATTTATCGCTCGTGGCTGCTCGGCCGTATGAAAATTAACTGCGCTTACGTGCGCTCGTAAAATTCATTGAAATTTATCTTGGGATTGATGGTTACGGTGCCGCGTATGCGAGCTGAAATTTACGCGAATCGGTTCGTGCAATTGGCGAATATATACGACGCGTCGCGCGGTGTTCCGCTCGGTGGAGAAAAATCTGCCAGACGATAAGATTAGTTTCGTCTCGACGCGTTAACAGTAGCTCTAGTGACGCTGTAATTCTAATTTATGTCAATGTTATTGTCGAGAAGGATATCTGAAATTTAGTCCAATCTTCGGCGATCGAATCGTTTTCGAAACGCGCGTCAAACTCGTCGAACTTGTCTGTTATTTCGATTTTTATAATTTATTTCGACTTCTACAATTTATTTTCAGTCGCTTTGCAACACGGGAGCAAAACAAATCCGCCGCGGACGATCGGACATTTTAATTTTCAGTCGAAACAATTACAAAATTGTCGCAAATTACATTGGAACGAACGTTCTTGATTGAAAGACCGTTGAAAACATTTTGTTTCTCATATTTACCTCGCAAACGTGTGAGAATTGTTACTCGATAACGCGTTCTGTCAAATTTCGTGGCGAATTTACGTCGTATTTTTTCTAAAGAAAAAAAAAAAAAAAAAAGTACCAGCGAAAATTTAATTGAAAGCTCGGAGATTTGGAGAGAACATACATTTGCCTTATTCCCTTAAAGTACCGTTCCGTGATATTCGACAAAATATTATGAAAAGAAAAGAGACACCTATTTACAAACATGCGTTCGAAATTTCTTTCTTCTGCTCGCGCGGGATGGAAACAGAAGCTTGTGGCAAACAGTTGGATCGGCGATTTCTCCGCGCAGCACTTCCGGCAACACGGTCTATAGTTTAGAAGCAATTAAGTGGTACCCGCACAACGGTAAATGCAAACCCTTGATTATACCCCATTTATCAACGCTGTGCTCTTAACCAGAACCCATCAAGTCGTGGGCTCCGCTCTCAATTGCCACACTGGATGCAGAAGGATTACGCTTGCCGTCAGGATGGCCAATTATGTCGTCGGACTGTCCACGTAGGCTGCTACGAGTGTATCAATTCTGATTGGTACATGCCCGCGGTGACCATCGTTTTCCTCCCTCCCTCCTCTTCCGTTCCCCTCCCCCCTGGGTTTTCTCGGATTAGTTTGATCAGTTTGACGTTTCATTCGAGGCACTGGAACGTACGCGAATATCAGGTTGGTGAAAAAGTAACTGCGTTCCTTTTTTTTTTTTCTCGTAAGAAACAGAAATTTCTTTCTTTGATCATTTTGTTCCATTATTTTTAAGATATATATCTTATATATCTCACATTTGTTACGTTTGAAAATATATATGTATACATTTGTTACGTTTGAAGATGTACATGTATACATTTATTATGTTTGAAGATATGCATGTATACATTTGCTACATTTGAAGGTACATGTACACATTTGAAGACATACGTATATACATTTGAAGATATACATGTATACATTTGTTACGTTTGAAGATATACATGCATACATTTGTTACGTTTGAAGATATACATGTATACATTGCTACGTTTGAAGATATACATGCATACATTTGTTACGTTTCAAGATATACATGTAGACATTTGTTACGTTTGAAGATATACATGTATATATTTGTTACATATGAAGATATACATGAATACATTTGTTACATTTAAAGATATACATGAATATATTTGTTACGTTTGAAGATATACATGTATACATTTGCTACGTTTGAAAATATACATGCATACATTTGCTACGTTTGAAGATATACATCTATACATTTATTACATTTGAAGATATACATGTATACATTGCTACGTTTGAAGATATACATGTATACATTTGTTACATTTGAAGATATACATGCATACATTTGTTACGTTTGAAGATATACATGTATACATTTGCTACGTTTGAGAATATACATGCATACATTTGCTACGTTTGAAGATATACATCTATACATTTATTACATTTGAAGATATACATGTATACAATTGCTACGTTTGAAGATATACATGTATACATTTGTTATGTTTGAAGATATACATGTATACATTTGTTACGTTTCAAGATATACATGTATACATTTGTTACGTTTGAAGATATACAAGTATATATTGCTACGTTTGAAGATATACATGTATACATTTGTTACATTTGAAGATATACATGCATACATTTGTTACGTTTGAAGATATACATGCATACATTTGTTACGTTTGAAGATATACATGTATACATTGCTACGTTTGAAGATATATGTACATACACACATTTGAAGATATACAGGTATACATTTATACATATTTGAAGACATATATCTACATGTACGTCCATCTATTACAAAAAGAAAAGAAACGCAATTACTTTTTGGCAAACGCCTAAATCATATTGTAGCTCAGTTCCCTTGAGAAATACAGAATATGATAATTTCGATCAACAGACGATTTGTTAATTCTTGGCTCTTCAAACGTTTTTCTTTTCAAACAAAGAGAAGCTTTTTCTAGTTCTTGAATTGAGATTGAACTGGAGATTCAATCGAGCTAAAATCAAGCTAATTGCAAGTGTCTTTCTGCTTTCACTTCAATTAAAGGAAATTCCCGTCAAAGTTCTCGGAAAAATCCTTCATTTACAAACAGCAGCAGCGGCAGTTGTTCGGTCCGACGTTCAACGAGCCTTCGAAGTTTTCCAATTCGGTTCGACTTTGTCAACTTAGTTTCGAGAACTCGCGACGCTCGCCGCGATATTAACTGATTCCCCTCGAACGAATTTCGAGATTCTCCAACTTCACCTTCTCTCGCCGAGTTGTTTGAAATTTTTTTATGTCCCTCTCGTTGAAATTCGCGTCTTCGCGAATTGTGAATCGCCGACAAAAGCCTGCGTTGTTCAGACTTCGGACACATGAAGCGCGGAGATATATATTTGCTCTTCTGGCTTGCGAGAGAGAGAGAGAGAAAGAGAAAATTCTGTTTCGCCTTGCTGTCGTTCCGATCCATCAACTAAAGCCGCGTCGACGCAACCAATTTTCGCATCAGTGCCACTTCAAGATCCTCCATGCAAGAAGGCAATTTCATACCGGACGTGTCGGGTCATCTCTACGCGATGCCTCGTGAAATCGCGCGATACCACGCGAAAACGCGCCCCTTTACTGCTCGGGATTACTTTTTCAATCCGGCGTGTCAAAGCGGACAGAGAGCGCCTCGCCATGCTTTTTGTTAGGCGAATTTAATTTCTCGCGCTGCCACGCACGTCGAGAACATTTTGTCCCAAAACTGCAATATTTTCTCAGTTTTTTAAATAAAGTATATATATTAAATATTTACCAGGCAAAGCTACTCAATAATTTCTATTATATCGACGAGTTCGATGAAAAAAAGAAAGCGACGAATTATTGTATACGGTTTGGTCACTCGTTATGGTCCGCAATCAGCTAGAAGAAAGATAGGTCAATCATATATTCTGTAGAGTTTAGCAACTGAAGTATAAAATTTCTATCGGACGCATTAAAATAAAGAAAACGAAGTAGAACAATTTTATAATACACGATGAAGTACACGAAGTTTTTGTTTGTACATTTGGCGAGAAATTACTTAGATCTTCCGAAGTATATCCGTTTTGTGTGTATAAAATAAATGAACAAAATAAACGATATAAACAAAATTTT